TTTAAATTATTTTAAATTATGACTCGAATTCTCAAGTGTTGGTAAATTACTTATAGTAGTAGTTCAATGAATTTTGATATTTATTTATGTCAGAATGAAAGACAAATTAACAATAGATCTGATCAGTCGTTTCTCGAAAATGAGACCCTGTCGGATATGACTTTGGATCTAATAAGATCCGAGTCATCTGTTCAAGATGATGTGCTTGATTTGTCGGAACCACTTGTCCAACCCGAATATAGACCCGACCCGAATGTTATACTAGAAGTGAGCCGAAGGCAAAGGATGGTTTGGTCCACGGATCTTCATAGAAAGTTTAGGTTTGCTGTGGAGGCGCTTGGTGGGCCTAAAGGTAATAAAAATGCGTAATTAAAAAAATTCATGTTATATTTTTGCTTTTTTAGGTGCTATACTCTTAAAAAATAAATACAATGGTTTTAGACTTTTAATCTGGTCATTTCTATATTTTTTGATCAAATATTGGTTGTGTTATTTTTATAGATAATATGCATAATTACATATTAATTTTATTTTTATAAATAAAATGTATAAGGGGTTATAATAAATTCAATAATATTTTAATGATTTCGACACTTTTTTTTTTTTTTTTTTTTTTTTTTTTTTTTTTTTTTTTTTTTTTGCTAACTTTGGTTGATTTTCCTATTTGATCAATTTAATATGAAATAAAACCCAAATCAGCCTTTTTAGATACACAATTCGAATAATCAAAGTATTTGACTAAAGAATATATTTTAGTAAAACATATTCACGAAACTTAGGACCATAATCAAGATAGTACCATCTTGATCATATAATTTTTAATTGGCAACTGCCTAAATTTTGATTTAATTTTTATAAAAAATATATTTTATATTTGAGATTTTCTAATATGTGTTTCTAAAAACAAATATAACAAATACTATCATGAAAAAAAAATATTATCATAATTAAATATATATAATTAAATATATGAAATATATTAATCATACGAAGTATTATCATAATCAATTATATATAAAATACATTAATTATAAAGAATGTTCCTTATAATTAATATATTTCAAATTATTCATGGTAATAATTTTAATACTTAGTATTTCTTATATTAGGCTTATATTAAAAAATTCATTTATTTTTTAAGACAAGTCGGAAAAACGTAATATTTTTAATATATATGATATTTAATGTTTCTTATATGTACCATTTGGACACATATTAGAAAATTCCTTAAATTATACCAACATATCATAAATTCTTTACGCGCATTACTCGAATAGTTTGATTTTATTTATTAACTTACTCATAATAAATAAATAGCTTGGATGAATATCTGTAATGTAATATTGTTCTGAAAGATACGAAATTAAGTGTCGTTCTCATGTTATAATAATTTAGTTACCAGATTAGTATAATTTACTTATTAATGAGAATTAATAACTAAAATAATCAAATTGAACCATATTATATAAAGTTAAATTCTTTAATTTGAATATTTGCAATTTTGTTTTGTTTACTAAATTTAAAATCAAATATGCACATTTTTGCTTTTTAAAAGTTCAATTATTTTTCAATTTCTTTATAATAATTATTATAAATTGGTTAATAATGTTAAATCAATATAAAAAGTAAATTCTAATCATAAATTAAATAAATTATAATATTAAAATATAATATTTTCCTTCTGTTTATAAAATCATGACTTACATTTTTTAATATATTATAGTTAACTTATTAGTTTAGATATGTTGTTGAGCAAATGTAATTTTAAAGTCACAACTTTTTGTATAATTTTATGCAAAATAATTAAATTATTATTTTCAACGTAATATCAAACAATTAACTTGAATCAAAATTTCAGTAAAACTTGAAAAAAAAATATGAGAAACTAGTTTATAAATAGTTAAAAGTTATAAATTATAGCGTTAAACCTAAATTGTAATCCTAAATTAACAAAAAAAACAATAAAACTATTTTTTATAATTATTAAGAGTATTCAAATAAGTAGCTTAAAAGTAACTTACAATAAGAATAGTTAAAAGTAATATTATATATAAATTATAATGTTATCCTTTAAAAAAAACAACGCTTGTTGTTTAAATAATATAATCAAAGAAAGTAACAATACTAATCAATTAAATTTTAAAAAGATTAAATTTCTAGAGCCAAATTAAAATAAGTAAGAGTTTCTAAATTATTTTTAATAAATTACAACAATATTACTTAAAAGTAACATTATATACAAAATTATATTGTTACATTTAAAAAAAAAGTAATGTTTGATATCTTAAATAATTACGATGATATAAATTAAAATCTTAAGGAAATAAACTTTTTAAAATTAATTTAATCATAACAATAATTATATATATCATTAGACTATATATTATACTTAATTTTATTCATAAGTAACCTGCAGGTAGAGGTCATTGAGACAATTGATATTATATAATTTTAAAAGATGTCTATATTATCATATAATTCAAAACAATCAATGTTTATACCAACTTATTATAAGATTTATTATGTAAGAGCTAAAAACAACGTCATTGATATATTTAAAATATATATATTTGTAAAGATTCCAAATATATTGTTTTATTCTGCATGATACACGGGTATTCGCAACATCATCGATATATTTAAAAAACATATATTTGTAAAGATTTCAAATATATTGTTATATTATGTGCAACGCATAGGTATTCACCTAATATATTTTATATAACTTGGAGTTTAATTAGTTGGAGAGAATGTTATTTTTTAAAAATGGCAAATTGAACCATTTGAGCGGTCCACTTGGAAGATTAATTGCGAAGCATTAATTAGCAATATTTTAGGTGTGCGAAAGTTTGAACATCGGACATCCTATGTGGTATTCGACTCCTAAACCATTAACAATCTCATCGTAGGGACCACAATTTTATGTTTTATGATGATATAAGAAGAATTATTATAAAATTTATATTTTCATTCCATTTTAATAAAAGATTGATCGTTCCTTCTCTATACTCATGTCGTATGTTTTTTTGGGAACTTGGTAGAAGCAAAACCAAAGCAAATCCATGACCTTTTGAAAGTAGATAACCTCACAACTGAACAAATCAAAAGTCATCTCCAGGTATATATTACAAAATACTTTATAATTTCTATGTTATCATAATATATCAAATTACTTAATTTCTTTTAATGGATTCAGAGGTACAGGAAGCACCTTAATTCTATTTGTAGGGGTCAATGTTCAGTCATGGGATCTAGTCAAAACATGCAGAATGCAAATTCAAGGCTTGTTCGAACCCGATTCTCTCTGTTATGTATGCAGCCTGGCGAGTCATCCAACAATAATACTATGACAACAATACCAAAAAACAATTAAAAGTCACTTACTTAATGGGCCTAAGTATTTTCTTCAAGACCAATAATTCATGCATGAATGCATGCTAGTTTTTACTAGACATATTTCTTTAATATTTAGTAAAAACTACTCTTCATTAATTTAGACTATTTCGATGTTACTTTTAAAGCTTTAGATTTTTATGCTATGGTGATTTAGAAATGGTTGGAGTTTGGAGTTTAAATGTATACGTGCATCGATGGATAATGGATATGATGTATCTATGCATGAAACATCATAATTGGTGTAAGTTTGCACCAGTTAATAGCTATAATCCATGAAGCTTTTAGGTTTAATGATCTCATAATATATCTCTCCTAATTCTTTGGAGTTATCAGAGGGTCTTTGGTCTAGCAGTATGGAGTGACTCTCATTTGAGAGATCATGGGTTCAAGTCTCACTTCAGACATAGATGGTAATAGTTAGGACTATATTAGTTTGCTGTTTAAAAAAATCCATTAAGTTAACTTATCTTTACCTAGAGGGTGTTAAACTAGATGATTTTGTTGTAAAATCCAAAATAGTTATTTGATCATATCATTAATGAAGAATCACTGAATCAGTATTGAGTTTCACAACAAGAAATTACACCATTAATGATGCCTTCATCTTCAGCGATGATTTTTGTCATCACTAATAGTTGCTTCTTTTTGGTGTGATGGACTTTGGTGAGCCAAATCATGTTAGAGTAACCTGGAGAGCATGTGGGCTTCTATAAGATATGTTCTTGTGACATCCAAGAAAATAATGAGCCCAAGTTCATCAATTAACATATTTACTCCAAGGTTAGGGGAGTGTTATATAAAGTATTTATAGTCTTATAGAATCCTCTAATTAACATATTTGCTTTCATTTTATCTAGTTTCCTTATTTAGGTAGTAATTTGTATATAAAGTGAGTGCTTAACTTCTCTATTACCATTCAAATCACTCATTTTATCTAAACAATGAATTGAGAAACCTTCTATTATATTTTTTTTGGTGAACAACCATAATTCGAGGGATATCCTTTTTATATTCATCTATTATATTTTTGTTTTTATTAAGAGTTGTCTTGTTTTTCTTTTTGATTTCTTATATAAAGAACTTTTTATCCTATTTTATCTATAAGTGAAAACATCCTCTCCTCTAGTTCAATAACTTTATTATGGGATCAGAGCGGGTTCGTTAAAATTCACAAAATCAACCTAAAAATAAGAAAAGAACTCTTATGTTAAGAATTTTTGGATACAATTACAAATTAGAAAGGCTTACTCTAATCCTATACAAATTACTAAAAACCCTTAGTTTCACTCTTATATATATTCAAGCTATCTATACTATATATCACGTATATACGCTAAAGAATCAAAAACTTATTAATAAACAAAACTAGAAGACAACAAATCTGAATATTTGGTGAAGATAACTTTTAGGGTTTATGTTTGCAGGAGACAACAACTTTCTCTTGGAAATATTTAGACCAATTGAATAAGAGATAAAAAATCAGCAAACCATTGCGTAATTCCTCGTTATATAGTAACTCCACTTTAGCTCCAAGCCCTTCCACTTTAGTGCTATGTCACATTTAGTCCTTGTTCGCCATTCCAACTTCCAAATCTGGTACTTAGCTTTTCATGAAAAAACCCATTATTTTATACCTACAAAGTACTAGCACCAGAATTAGGCACATGGTCATTTACTCTCCCAAATAAAATATTGGAACTATTATTTATTTTAACAGGGTTTTACCATAATCCCTAAACAACCCTTGTTGCCATGACAAGGAGATGGAAGTAGTAGCGAGAAGAACTCAGCGGGTCAGAACAACCACGACTGTCCATACTACCTGAATCCTTTAGACTATCCCATGAAAGTTCATGTAAACGATGTTCTTACCGATAACAATTGCATTGATTGGCCTCGAAAGATAATGAAATTTCTTCTAGAAAAAACCAAGATTGGTTTTATTGATGGAACCATTTAGAAACCCGACGACA